GTAAATTGTTGACCCCGCCCATGGATAACCACAACAGCAGAGGTTACGAGTGTGCTGCTGGTATTTGGGGATAAGGGTGTTGGAGGGATGGGGTAAGGAAGGATTGGGCCTCCAGCAACCTACTCACGCAGCAAAATAGAACGCTGTGACACAACCGCCTTACATTTCTGTATCACTCCCAGATGACGCAGCTTTGCAAATAGCTCTTATTTGCCAATATCTACTTTTATATTGTAAATTATATAAGTCAAATATGATTGATAGAAAATTTAATTCCAACAAAATACCTTTATAAAAGTACTGACATTTCAAAATTTGAGAACATCAAATAATAAATGTCAGTATGGAATGAAAGGTTCGGGAATTTTCTGGGGTAAATAGATTTAAAATGATATAAGTATTCACTATACTTCCGAATATTATGTTTGATATGAATCGGAATATGAATCTGAGACGGACCTGCAGCATTTACGGATAATTCTGAACCAGCTCCCTTAGCCAAGTTTGGTATCAATAATCATTATATCTTTAGAAATGAAACAAATCTATGTGATTTAGGTAATTTGCTGACCACGTGAGTTATCGATGACTATCAGAAAACTTCTTACATTTGTTTAAGCTATAATCATTATCATCAATGTTGAAGTTGGTTAAGCTGACTGCTAAGCGTGGTTCTTGTGGCTAATGAAACAAATGTATGTGACTTCATTTGTTGACGAAGTGAGTTATCGATGACCTTGAAAACTCTCCTTACATTTGTTTTGTTCCTAAAACAATAAACATTATCAATATTGAACTTGGTTGGAGGCTAAATGCTAAGCGTTGGTAGTAATTGCGGTAAGCCTTCTTATGAAGAGAAGGCATGAAGTCTAGTAGTCAATTTTTGTGGGCTGTTGATGAGTTTTCAGACAGTAAAATTTTTTTGTGAAACACGGTTGTTTCACGTAAAAATGGACTTCGTTAATCACATTTGAGTTTGGGACCTAACGTTCAATTTTTAAATAATTTGAAATTTTTCAACTGGCATTGTTCTTCTGACCTTAGAAGGGTTGAACCAGCTCTCGACGTACACTTTAGTATTTTACCAGATTACTTACTATTGTATTCAATTATTGAAAGGATAATGTCAGTTTACATTCTGTATTATGTCTGAATGTAAGGTCATGGCCATTACAATCGGTCACGACAAACTACAACCATTTAGGTTGAATGCGGCTAACCGCACGCTGTGGCTAGATACCAACGTTGCGCTTTAAGATCCCAGGAAAATTATACGTATACTATAAAACCGCAGCAACTTCCAGTACGAAATATAACATAGAATTTTGAGCATTAATCTCTCGAAGCAACGCACGTCTGATTTCGTCAATCATGTTTTGAATTCTTCGTAATGGCGTAAGCGTTCGTATTTTTTCACGGTAGGATTATCTTCTGCCGTGGGTGCGGTTAGAAACATGCAATTTCACATGCACATGACGCCCAGACCCGGGGCAATAATTTATGAATCACACAAAGTTGTTCCGTACGGGAATCGAATCCGCAACACGTTGCACGGCCGCCAGTTGCCCAGCCACCGCACCAACCGTGCAGTCAAGTATTGCTAGTAAGAGTTCACAAGGTTTCTAGATAGACAATATAATTTTGCTCAACCATACTAGCTATATTACAAATTGGGACAGGCTCCTACTCCATGTTTTCTGGTCCCAATGCAGAAAGGGATGATTTTTAGATGTCCTTTTATGGTTTTGAATACTAAAGAGAAAAGAAGATTTAATGACGCTTTTGTTTTCTTTACAGGTCATCCTAAAATCAAAGCTTTCGTCACACACGGAGGTCTTCTAAGCATGTTCGAGACAGTCTACCACGGCGTTCCCATCGTCACCATTCCCATCTTTTGCGACCACGACTCCAATGCTGCTAAAGCTGAAGTCGACGGATATGCAAAGAAACTTGACCTACAGTACCTAACACCAGAGAAATTATACAAAGCTATCCTAGAAGTAATCACAGAGCCCAGATACAAACAAGAAGTGAAGAAAAGGCAAGTACTCTTGAGAGATCAGAAGGAAACTCCATTAGAAAGAGCCATCTACTGGACTGAGTACGTAATAAGGCATAAAGGAGCTTACCATTTACAGTCACCAGCAAAGGACATGAACTTCTTCCAATATTATTCTTTGGATGTTTTCCTTCTTATTGTCACTGTACTCGTAACATTATACGCTCTTATTTCTTACGCTTTAAGGTTGAGTTTCAATAGATTAATAAGTTATGTACAGAAGAAACAAATGCACCAATTGTTGGACAAGTCAAACGAGTTGTTGACTAGTTCGAAGTTGTTAAGTCAAGCTGCGGTAACGAAGAAGAAATTGTGAGCAACGAAATGTTATTCTAATAGAACATTTTGTGGGACTGAGATGATGTTTTGTAGAATATAGATTGTTATACAAAAATGGTTCTTATTGAACTTTGAATTAGGTAACGATTTTATTGTGATCAGGTTACTTGTTACTCGAGGAGTTCAAAGAAATGTGATCGATATTCACTTTATGAAATATATTGTACATATATACAAGTGATATTAAAGTTAGTCCTAGTTCCCCTAGTAGGGAGACAGACAGATAAATAGATTGATATAAGCTTTGAAAAGTAATAAATAATGTAGGAATATTTCGTTTGAATACAAATTATGAAATTAATTATAAATTCCAAGTTTCGACTTGGAAATATATTAATCATACTTTTTGGTGTCGCCAGTTGTTTAATATTCTAGGTTTCAAAAGAACTTTTTTTATAAATATTTACTTCTAATTTTTTACACGCTTTTTTTCGTTGTAACGAATTATGTATGTATATATTAAAATTAAAATCTAAGAATCTGAATTACACGCACACACATTTAATTGTACCAACGTTAAATTTGTCAATTTTGTGTAGATAAGATAACTATATAATATATTGTGTGGATAAGATAACTATATGGTATATTGGGAAAAGCTTATGCGTTAATGCAAGGTATCATCTATCTACAAATCAAATTTCAACCAAATTAGTCTAGCCGTTTTTGCGTAATAGAATAGCAAACATACATCCATACATTCTCATAAACTTTTACATTTTTCATGACATCATCGAGCTGGTTTGATGAAAGAGTTGGAAGGTCGCTGATAGATCCTTGGATTACCTGCTTTGCTTGTAAACATACCGTGTTTGGTCTATAATTATGAAAATTTCCCCTGATAATGATACTTAAAAGCGTGTTTTAAGTTATCCGAACTATGAATTAAAGTTTTCGAGTGTTTCTTGATACTTAAGTTATGTTTTTTGATATTTTTTTTTTGTTAAAAAAATATCCACCGCTTCGTTACCAATCACAGTTACCATTAGTTTATAGGTAAAGTAAGATAGTGAACATTGTAAATACGGTTTTAAGAGAATAATGATTTTCTTATAATACTTAAAGGTAAGTGTAAAAAAATTTGCTCATTGGTGTAACTTATGATTTATTTTATTGTAAAATAAATGATGTTAAATTATTTGATGTGTTTTATTTCTTTGGTATAATACACAACGGTTAAGAGTCTACTAGGATCGGATATATTATATGGGATTAAGCAGCAAATTAACCGATGAACCAACTGTTGGTAAGCATCCGGCGCTTTCGCAGGATACTAGAAACACCAAGAATTTATGAGTTTTTTCGGACTTTTGGAGGACTATTTTGAATTTGGAGATGGGCAAAGAAGAGGATCGTGCCTCTGATAAACTTAATAACACGCTGAGATACAACGCATACGTTATTTCATGCCAATTTTCTGTTAAGCCACAATATTACTCCGGTTCAGCCGACCCATTCGTGTTGAAACATAGCTCACCGATATAAAAATTCTTGAACTATTGTTATAATCGTCTCCAAATGTGCTGCTAAAGGTAAAGTTTAATTGTTGTGCGATGTTCTTTTTCAAGGTCGTCTTCCCTCTTTATATATGCCATGTTGACAGCTATGTTTTTCGTTTTCTGCGGTTTCGATCAATATTTTGAATTCGCAATATGTCAGAAATCCTAGCCAGGCTCAATGATACCTTATATATAGCGAGGTTAAGTTAAGATCAAAACAAAAACTGCTTTGGGCTTATAACTTTATTAAAATGAAAAGTGTCGTCCTAACCATCTAAATATTATTATCTAATTAGTTATTTGTAGAACTTCTACCATTAAATATTCTAAAAGCAAAAAGCAAAAGCGAGTGCAAAAATATTATAATCTTCATAATGTATTGGTGTGGTGACTAGTATTAGTAATTGTGTAACTACATTTTAAATATTATTTAATAATAAAGTTAATAATTCTAAGTTAATATCGATAAGGTTGATTACAGTAAGAAAATACTTAAAGATAGTTGATGTATTCTGAAGTACTGCTGATTAAGAAATTGGTTTGATTTGAAAAATAATATTATGTAAAACAAATGAACCACAAAAATATAGCCATAACTACTTTAAAAATAAAGATTAAATGCTAACTTATGCAACCATACTCGGTATAAAAATCAACATATCCAAAATTAATAAGCACAAATGTCTACAGCGTTTATTTTTTTAATATAATTAAGACCATATTTTTTGATGCACTTTGTGAATATCTTACTTCTCATAAATTACGTAATTCAATGTTCGTGTCATATGTGAACTTACATTATACAAACGAACAGTAATTAAAAATAATTCGCTCCAAATTTGCTATGTTGTAGGACAACCGGAATTAACTGGTTTTGGGCTTCAAAAACATCTCCCTTCTTTTGAAGTCGGTTTGGTTGAAGAGAATAACCATTAATCACCTTACCCTAAAAATTACTTAACATCTACAATTCACTAAACTATTAACTAAGTTCTTCTACGTGTGACAAGGAACCTGTAAGTTCGGGCCCATATTCCTCTGTTCACCAAACCGTATCGACGACTCCATATTAGAGCTAAGGTCAGGAGTCGTCTGGAGGTCGATTAAATGTTGATCTTGGCTGGTTCCTGTGCAGGCCCGATCACACTGATGTCCTTCTGCTCCTCCCCCTCTTCTGGTGTCACTTTAGACACCTTCGAGTCACCAGAAACGGCTAGACGCATTATGTGATCTGTGTAGAAGAATGGAATTGTGAAAGAAGACGTAAGAAAGATTATTATGATATTTAGATAGAACCTATAGTAAGACAATAGTTTAGAAATCTGATCCAACAGACAAACTGTGTAAACAGTTTTGTTGGACATTTTATACTTTTTATTATGTAAAATGTACCTTCTACGCAATAATAAATAAAATAAATAATAAAATTTTGTTTGTGTGAAGAGTTTAGTTTCTGTCGTTTTCGGTTCCAATTTTCGTACTATTTTTGATGAGTAAAGTTATTCTGTCTTCAGGCGTCCTGTGTCGAGAGACGATCTTTGGCCACCGTTAGGGACGGCGAGTAAGGGTTAAGAACCAAACCCGAGCGTAGGGAGCGTAGCGTTCTGCACGACCCTCAATTAGCCAATAGACTACCACACACGGGGCCCTATAGGGCTGATGTTCAGCCGGGGTTGCGGGCCAAGGAACAAGGAACAAGGAAAAGAGCAGGAAAAGGAACGGGTTGTTTTTAGTCAGTAAGAGTTAGCGGTAGGAAGAAATCTACTCCGAACCGGGTACGGAATATTATTGCGCCTGAACGTTTTTTACAGAATCAAAATAAACATCCGACGAAACATTGCTTTTAATATTGTGTCACGTCACTTAGTGGGTTCATTTTATAATAGCAGGTAATTAGCCCCATCCTTCTACTAAACTGTATTTTGTACAGAAGATAAAATATTGTTACAAATAATCGTATTTATTTATCATCTAAGTTAATTTTCATACCCTATTATCCTCCTTATTTTAAAAAATAATATAAATATAAATTAAAAAATAATATAATAATAAATCTAAACAATGTTTCATACCTTTCTTTTGTGTCAATCAATCAACTTTTTAGAAAACAATATACTTAATACTTGAATACAAAATGACTTAGGGCTGATTTTTCTTTATTCAGATATCTGTTATCTGAGGGATACAATTGTTGCTGTCACTGTCTTATACAAACATTCTGACGCGACAGCATCATTATTTTTCCCTAAGTAACTTTTATCTAACTATTGCAAAATCAGCCCTTAAGCACTTGAGTGCTTTGTGAACTTATTTACTTGTGTTCATATCATTCTTTGTATTTAGCAAATAGTATTAGAAAAAGTTATATGAAAACTTTTCCAAAGAATTTTATTCAAATCTTATTGTGTGTTGTTTTAATAAAACTATAAGTTCATTTAGTTTATATTTTGGACCCTAATCTATATCGAATTAGAGTGAGTTTTCAATAATTTAATAATGCTGCAGGGCCATTCGAAATACAAACAATATATTTTGAGGTAAGGTGAATTAGCTCTATTGTTTATCAATTTATTATTAGGAGCTTTATTTAAATCTTTAACAAAAGATTTTTAAAAGACAACAAAATAATTTAATATTTACTTATGAAAAAATAAAGACTGTTTTAGCACATAGACAATAGAAGCGATTACAAAAATTAGAGGCGAATTCAATGCATACTTTTTTTAATGTCAAAAACTTAGGTATCAATGAATTTCTAAACTCAACCGTCATTCATTTTTGAGGCAAATATAACATTAATGTCTTTCATAATAAAAACGATTTTTACTGTACTCAGACCGCTAATCATCATCATCATCACCATCATCATTAGCCGCTAGACCTCTACTACTGAACAAAGGACTACCCTAAAAGGGAATCCTTCGTCATTCGATCCATCACTAAATCCCTCAATATCTTTATGAGTCAACTTACTTTCTTACCTCTGAAGTGGAACACCACTCCAATTAGTGCTCCAAGGCTTCCGAAGGACACCATCCACCAGCGCAGTACACCTACCACTCTCTTCGGAATGAAGAGCTGGTGCTTCAGCATGTTGACAAACGACTTGTTTAAAGCCAAGCCCTGTGGAATAAAATGTGGAATCAATATTAATTAACCAAATTAGAACAAGTATGGAATTTCTAGAAAAGTGCTCGAGTGATGACCAGGACCCGCAGGACTCAGATGAGGTGGACCGATGGCTTCGTCAGAGTCTTGAGGAGCCAATAGATGTAAGTAGTGATTAGTCATTCGACTTGGAGAACTATGGGAGAGTCCTTTGTCCAAAGATGCCTGCTAATGAAGGTTTTCTTAGCCCTTCTTATCATTAATAGTAAAGAGATTGTTGGACATTGGACACATTTTTTGAATCCCATAACTGGTCCATCTGTCGTAGTCAATATCATCTAACTGTTATTTGACCTAAGTAGAATAATCAATTGGCAATCGCGAACAGTTGCAGAATCAATTAAAATGTTCGTGAGTGGCAATGGTAGTGAATTTCAATAGGAAGTTAGCAGAAAAACATAAGATAGTCACTATTGAGCAGACTCCCATAGTATGTAAAACGTCAGCTGACAGTCACGCTGCAAATATTAGTCCATAAAGTCACGTCACCGCAGTGAGCGCACTCTCCTATTTGTCCTCAACTTAGTGACAAAAATGACAAACAATCACAATTAACGGCAGGCCAACGCTAAAGAAACTTCTTAGTTTCTTTTATGACAAATTGATTGTCTCATTAATGAAATAATGGTTACATTATGTTAAATATTCCAATCTTTCCCCTCCCAAAATTTCCAAATCCCTAAACCCCAAAAGATCAGCAACGCATTCTTCCTTTGTTGCGAGTATCCAGAAGTGGGGCTGATTGCTTATCATCAGGTAATCCGTCTACACGTTTGCATATGAAAAATCAAAAAAAACTACTAATGAATTTACCTCTTCAATCCAGAATAGAGGTACAATATCTCCAGAAAGATCCTTGCAAAGGTCTAATTTGTCAGTTTTTAGCAGCTGAATATTAAATTGGAGCCGTTGTCTTGCTACAAGCGGTGTGCCTGATATCTGAAACGGATATTTCTCGAAAATCTTATTGTTATATTATGTAACAATTAACAAAACAAGGTTTTAGGTTGTTAATTAGTAATGGAAACTTCCTCTGTGTTGTCTTCAAAGGTCAAGGAATAGTCTAGTCTACTTAGAAAAAAATACTTAACTTTATGAGGAAGGTGCTTAAAACATTAATAAAAACAAGGTCTATAAAATAGTAGTAGTAAATATCTTTTCTTTCTTTTGTTTTCAAAATCGATTCAATTCTAGACATTGTCCAATTATTGCACCTTGTAATCTTTGAAATATTTCTAACAATTTTATTCGTTGTATTTTAAACTTTACACCGGTCTTTAGTTTACCTTTCCCAGTACCTAACTCATCAATACTGAGAATAAATTATTTTTTATTACTCCTATTTTGCTCTTAGAAATCTCTTACTAATTAACACAAATGGTGGGTTGCGTTAATTAATTAAATAATATTAAAACAATTGAGCTGTAAAACCTCCAATGGCGGGCGATACTGAGAAACCCTTCCAGTAATTATTTGAATCCCATACTTAATTGTTTCTGGGAATAAGGAATACACACGACGTTTTCATCGATATCAAAATAAAATCAGTGAAAGAAAAATTAACCTTAAAATGTAAATACGAGTAATATAACTATATAAATATTAAAAAGAATCGCAAACCGTGTTGGTAAACGAATAACTCAATAACGTCTGGATCAATTTAGCAATTTTTTTTAGGCATTGTTTATCATCACGAGGGTATTCTTATGAAAGAAAATCATTGAAAAGGATAGTGGTAAATTAGGGAATTCCAAACTTTTCAATGATTTTTACCACTCTGTCATCAAGGTAGTTGGAAACCTGTGCGAAGTACGGTCGGGCCGCTGCTATTATATGAGAATACTTGTAGCATTTACAGATATTATTGAAAATATTTATTAGATAATTAGAAGTTAAGGTTTTGGTAACAATATATATAGCAATAGGAATTTGCTCAAATAAATTCGTTTATAAGACGTAAGAAATATAAGCTAGTCACCGGACGAATACATTATAACTTATCTACGAAACATTTGAACATAACTAAAATGTAGTAAAAAATTGTTTATAGAAAAACAAACTTACCGGCTCAAAATCAATCTCAATTCCATGTGCATTGACATCAGGATTGAGACCTTTGACCTTGCTCAATAAGGCCGGATCGCAATCCAGGAAATGTGGCATAGAGGCGTACATAGGGGCCTTTATGCAGGGAGCCAGGTCCATTAAGCCTTTAGGAGGACACTTATCTGGCTGTGGACAAAAGCATTGCAGCTCTGGATCTTCAGCTAAGTTCCCGATATTGGCTACGTAGCGGTTGGTCTTAATGCCCTTGTATGAACTCTTCTTTTGGAACCATGGCTTAAAGGACCTGGAAGTCATTAATGTGGTTTAGACCTTGATATGTGGGTTTTAAAGTTCAATTTAGTATATATTTTTTTAGAGCGTCAAATGCGTAGATTTTGCCTAACGATGGTAGTAAAAAGTAATCGTAAAGTTTCCAAATAAACTAACAAACGTTGTAGTTCGTAGAATGTGTAGGTATATGAATGCTTTCTGTTACAAAAAGACCAAACGGGTGTTCGTGGAAGCCGACCGTCGATGGCCGACCCGAAGGACCATTTATTTAATTGTGCGGAAAAAAGGACCCAAGATATAGGAAATTTCATTAAAATTCTTGGAATCATAGATTTATACATTCGGATGATTTTATTTACTGGTGAGTGAATTTGCTATAATTCTTTTCGAAGGCGTTAATGTTTTTATTATTTTTTGGAGCGACTTTTATAAATACAATTTTATTTATACACAATAATGTGAATGAAAAATATGAAACTGATGACTGCTATGTAGGTACGTGTGTAATATCTCTCATTGCTATTGTCCTTTATTTTCTTTTGAAAGAAAAAAAGGACAAAAGCAATGACACTTTTTCAGGTTAATGTAACTTCCTAAGTTTATTTAGACACTACTGACAAACGGTGTACGAAAATAACTTCTTATTACAAGTATGAAATAGTCAATGGGCCTTGACCAGGTACGGTGATTAATGCTGAAACTTTCACTACGTTAGAGTGGGAACTTATATTTATGTTTTTTTAATGTAATAGGTCGGCAAACGAGCAAACGGATTACCTGATGGTAAGCAATCAGCCCCGCCCATGGACACCCGCAACGGAGGAGTTACGAGTGCGTTACCGACCTTTTAGGGACTAGGGATTTGGAGATTTAGGGATTGAGGAGGGATTGGAGGAGAGGAAGGATTGGGCCTCCGGTAACCTCACTCACACGGCGAAACACAACGCTGTGGTTGTTTCACGCCGGTTTTCTGTGAGGCCGTTGTATAATTGCGGTCGAGCCGATCCATTCGTGCCGAAGCATGGATACGTCTATTTACCATATGATTTACTCATATTTTCCAATCTTACCTGCATAAATCAGTAGAGAATGATTGAAGTCGGTCATTTTCAGTTAAGAAGGGTGGGAAGATAGTACCATCTGTGCCTTGGTACTCATTGCAATGGTCCTTCCAAATAGTTTGCACTGTCTGACCGTCAACTGCTGTCACTTGACCAACATCCATGACATTCTTTATACCACGTTTGACTGTTATCACGTGAGGATCTATTGAGTTATTCCGCTGTGGAAGGTGAATTTTCATTTTACTATTCTGTATAAGGTGATTGGAGGTAATTAGTGGCCGATATTTAAAGATATAATTATACATATGATAACAAACAACTTTTCTAAAGAAACTTTTTTGTACTAATTAACGGTACCCTAAAAATAGCCGTGTCAGTTACATTTTTTATAACTCAAGAACTGCTCAACTGAACTGCTAACTACATCCTTACTAATTATCAACGAAATGTTGATAATGTTGATGTAGTTTAGAACTAGAAGAAAAACATAGGGTAGGTAGAATAGGGTAGGGTAGGTAGGATAGAGTAGGGTAGGTAGGGTAGTGTAGTCAAAAGATTGGAGCAAGGCCGCGGGTAAAAGCTATTTTTCATAATTATAATTAAAGAACGGAACTGATTTTGAATTCAATATGAGAAATGAGCCGAACGTACTTCTGTATTGCATTAAAATTAATCGAAGTTTCAGTGAAATTGGCAGTTTTGTTGTTTGTCACTTATATAGAACAGTTGATAGGGAATGAAAATGTTTTTTTAAAGACTATAAAATGTATGTACATGTATGTACTATTCCAGAATTATAAACTATCTTTACTTTAATTTTATTCAGTAGCTATTACGTGAGTAACAAACATTCTAGTATATTATTCTGGGTGAAAAAATATAAGCTTCTTAAAATTAATTTCCTAAGACTTGGAAATACATAAACTAGCACTTTTACTAGGAAACAGAATACAGTATTAAAATTATGGTAAATTTTGATTAGAATTCATAATTTCTAATCTGCAACATATTATAAAATCTATTTAATGATTTTAGTATATTTACCGTTCCAAATATCGAGAAACGAAATTGGTTGTTAGGTTCCAAAACCAGTCCACTAACGCCTTCCTTCTTCAGTGCGGTACAAGTGGCCTTCGGTGCGAACTCGGTCCTTGCGCAATTTATCATCATTCCTCGGAACAATATGTCCATAGCTTTCACTCTCAAGAATATATCAGGAGGGTCATCAAAGATCCCGTTCATCGCTTTCCCAACCATATTCAACATGGCTGGCTTTTCTCGGTGTACTGTTAGTGCCATGCCCTAGAAGTAAAAACAAATATTTTTATGTGATTAAATAGTACCTGATAGTAAGAAAACACGCCGCTCATGGACACTCGCAACATTAAAAGAGGTGCGATTTCCGGCGTTTTAGGGATAATGGCTTCGCGTGGTTCTGGCAGGAAGCGCCACCTGTTACTTGCTTGTTCGCCGAGTTGGCGCTTCCCCACGCTGGTAACTGTCCTACAGGTCTTACGATTATTCATTTACTTCAGAGCAACCTAGATGCAGACTTATTTTTTGATGGTGCCAATATTATGTCAAGACACACTTTGAGTTATTTAAATAATTCTAATTATTTTTTTCTAATTTTTATTATTATAATAAATCTAATATCAGTAGTATGACTAAATACAGTAGTATTTAACATTTTAATTTAACTGTTATAATTGCAGAATATGATCTCATTGATAATTTAATTTAATTTCTCCATGAAGCACCATCTGACTTACCAGCATAAACACATGTGGTATTACCACAGTTTCTTCTCCTGTGAGACCTGGACCAGATAACTCTGGGTTGAAATAGAATACGTCACGTTTCTTGTAAGTTATCGTATCATCTTCCTCGTGGTCTTCGACTTCTACTTTTTCCTTCCATTCGCTGTAAATAAATTATTTTATTACTTTTTTTGTATGTCGTGACTAGCCTCCGTCTGCATCAGGAGAAGTAACGGGGTCTTTTAACAGTCAGTAAGAGTCCGCAAACGCTTTTCGCCTCACCCTAGGCAAGAGATGATTTCCCTCCTCTCAAAACTTATATTATCTATGCTAATTTTCAACAATACTCGTTGTTTAACATATCAGAATAACAAACACACATCCATCGATTCTTTCAAACATTTTAGTTTATAAGTTTAGACCGACAATGTGAGTTGTAAAATTTGTTAGGAGATATGACTAGCATTGGTAAGTTGTTGTATTTTTTATTAGCTTTGATATTGGATAGACCCCCTTTTAATTGAGAAAAGGTTGTCCCCGCTTTAGTACAAACAACTATTTAAGATCACACTAATAGTTCAAAAATTTATCAAATATTATTAAGTAGCCGATATTCCATAGTCCTAGCCTTAGTTCTCCAAACAGAACACGTGTTTGTATAATATTAAAAATATTCATAAAAAAATATATTTCTTCTTTAGCCTCAACCTATACATGTGCCAGTATTGATTTAAATGTCAGAACACATGTGCTGTATAAAGATTGTAGGTTTATACTTTGTGATATGCCAATAATGATTGAGTATAGCAAAACACTGGAATAGACAGCATATCATTATTTTCTCAAGGTCACTTAGAAAAATAACTTAGAATAATATTTCTTTCCAGATATATGCGATGAATCACTTCTTTATTGCTTTAGCGGTTCCCACACATGTTCTTGAATGAGACCTTCCTACCTTCATACTGCTTTACCAAGCGAAAACTATGTAAGGGCTTTTTGGTGAGGGGAAAATCGACAAATGACTTCTCCCACCCAGTATCGGGCGGGAAGCAGTGTCAGACTCTTCTGAAATACAAAGAGTTCCTTCTCTTGCTTTGGGCCGAGGCTGCGTGCCACATTGAGCTTGCCCCACAACTCCAGCTGAAAACTATTTAATGGTGCAGGTGGCAGAGCAATAATGAACAGCGTCTTAAAGCTGGGAGTAGGATAAGGAGCGAAGGCAGGCTGGTATAAGTCAGTAAGAGTCTTGACATTCCCTTTTGCCCCACCCAGACCGGAGAACAGATTTGAAAATTTTTCCCCTCACAAAAAAATCTTGAACTATCTTTCCTAATCAAAAATCATAAATGGCTTTAATTTTATTTTTTTGTGCGGCGAAAATCATCCTCTTACTTCTCGTTCTTGCCCAGTTTGATAGAAGAGATGTCAGACTCTTAATGACTAAAACACCCGTTCCTTCTCCTGCTTTAGGCCCTATCTTATTGCATTAGCCCGTTTCATTTAGTAACATGCAATGTAATATTGACCGCATTAACAGAATCTACACTAGGCTTTTAAATTTCAAAGTCCTAAGTACCTTTACAAAATGACTTTATTAAAACAAACAGTTGTATTAGTGCTTAAGAAGCACTACCATCTATGATTATATCATTCAGACCATCCACGTAATACAGCATGTTTAAAACGACCACTTTATTAACGTGGCCACTAATGCTATAATTATAAAGCCAGTATTTGTCTTTGTCATTCAAATTAAATTCTATATTATTAAGTAATGGGCTTCCGTTATTGACAGCACTCTGATTGTAAGCCTCCGGACAAAATTACAGGTTAAAGTACAAACGTGATCATTTGTTTAAATGTTTTCAATTATCAGTTAATTTAGTTAAACGATATAGTATTTTTATAGGCTGCTGAGCATGAAAATTATTGGCTCTTTTTTGTATTTTTGTGTTCTTTTGTTTACTTATTGCTTTTTAATGGCCACCTTCATACGCAGTTTGTGACTGGAATTATTGGAATTAGAGACACCAATAAATGAATTAATGCGAAGCGGTACGCCTCCAGCTTTATAATCAGAACCTGTAAGGAATGGATTTTTTTGCTGGAGTCTGTGTTCCAAGAAGAGTATTATAACCTGCTGCTAAGACATCTGTCTTCAAGGCCCGAGTGAATAGGTTGCTTATGGATATGCGTACTCCATCGTGGGTTGCATCATCGCTTACCATCAGAAATGATAGCGGGCAAATGCTTGCTCATTACGAAAAAAAAAAACCAAAAAAATCACAGCCTGCTCTAGTGTCAAACTCAATATTACCCCTTGTGTAGAGGAGGCTTGGCTTACAGGAATTAACTTATTCCAGGTGCCTCATTCCCACCACCTACCTTTTCCCAGGAGATTTGTAAATAGCAGACTTACTTTTTAAAAAGTCCTTTTTGCATTGCAGATCCACTTTTGATATGCACTATGAGTTACAAATCAAAATACCACTTTTATAAGTGGTATATGCATTTGAAATAAAAAATATTTTTTAATAAAATTGTGTAAACACTCACTCGAAATGGTATGGTCCAATTTCTTTAAGTATCGGTACAGCTCCTTTCGCTACTTCTTCAGCATTAGTGTAGTTGAATATGTAAACCTTGAAGTCTAATGGAAAAGGAATCTTCTCCCACATCTGGCGGACATCCGTTTTCTTCGATAGAGCCATTTCCTAGGAAAAAGAAAAGCGGTTCAATGAAGGAATTGTTTTTGTTTTCTCAACAATATTAATACTAAATAAAAAGTTCCGGCGTTCGCTTTTATATTATTTCGTACCTTTTCATGTTGTATTCTTCTAAAAAGAGAAAATATTCAGAAACGTTCAAGAAGTTATCATTTACAAATATTTAAATCCTACATTTTTTTACTCGGAAGCTTCTTAGACTGATGTTATAATATATATCTAATCTATAGCATATATAATCTATATGTAGCAATAATATTAGTTCGAATTGCAGACTAATTTTAGTCTATTATTTGGCATTATTTAAGTGCGCTGGAGAAACGCAATCGGACCTAATTTCATCAGAATAACGTCTTTTTGAACTAGATAGATGATTCTAACCTTTTAAGCAGAATGTTCGAAATTCAAAAAGCCTATTTAAATTTAAATGGCTTACACGCTTAGTTTCTTTATAAGTGCCATTTTGCGTATAAATTTAAAACTAAACAGGCGAAATCGTGTACTGACATATAACAAACATTAAGAATATACAGAACCCTTTATAAACCTACCCTATAGGGCTTTTGACCTTGACCCAAAACTCGATTTGGGGACGGACCTTAGCTGGGATCGAGACGCGAGAGGATTACAAAATACTTTATTGTTTTATGTCAAGCATTTTTTAAACAGCCTGTATTGGATTTACGCAAAGCGAGTAGTGGCGGACAGATTACGACCGCAGCGCACAACACGGTAGAAATTGGAAACAAATGCGGATGATCAGCAGTCGGTTTTTATTATTATATTCATTTCACAGTAAAACTATTGAATAAATTGCACTTAAATAATGTCTTTGGTTTTATTTATATTTGCAAAGAAAATTATGATGTTAACTTTGTTATTATTTGACGGCTTCCGCAAATGTTGTAAACGATACGCGTCGCTACCGTCGCGCACATAGTCAATAGCCAAATATTTTTATTATTATACATAATTTATATAAAAAAAGTCCTTAAGAATATTGGCGTAGGATGAAGATTGCTTCAGCTAATAGTTTGGGGTAAAAGTTTTACGACGGCTTAGGGTAAGCAGATAAGTTATGTTTTATAAACAGTAATGGTAGTTTGCGGATTGCCTAGAGACCAGAGCTAGACTTCATAATGTCTGTTTCAGTGTGGTTTCAGCTGTTTACTGAGTTCAAAGTCTGTATGAAATAGTGTTTTTAATTGGCTTTTTATAGCTTTTTATAGTTGATATCAATGCTAGATATGTATAGTTTTTAGTATGATCATTTGTTTTAAATGATTTGATAGTTTCTTTCTCTCTGTGCATTATTTTGCTATTTTTATTTTTTTATGTGATAAATTGGCAAACGAGCAGACGCATCACCTGATGGTAAGCAATCAACGCAGCCCATGGACACCCGTAACAACAGAGCAGATACGAGTGCGTTGCCGACCTTTTGGGGATTGGGGATTTGGAGATTTATGGATTGGGGAGAGGAAGGATTGGGCTTCCGGTAACACTCCGGTCGAGCCGACCCAGTCGTGATTCATCATGGCCCTCCCACACTTAAATGCTTATGCTATGCAACCAAGAGCTTTTAGTGTTGTGCTTTGATGGCAGTGAGTATTATGTTTATAGAAAATAATAATGAAGAAAACTGGTATTTACACAGCAAAAGGTAGTAGATTCAATTTGATAAAATAAACAAGTTTAATGACCATTGGCTCTTTTCTGCATAACAAAGTGAAGTCAATGAAAACAACTCTTCAAAATTTGGTAGGGCTCGCCAATACTAAACTTAATTCAATAACAATTAAATTTTTATGTTAAAAGACAAATCATATTTGTTTAATTTTACTATCGCATACAGCCGTAGTTACTTTTTGTACTTTGATGTTTCAAAATGACCAGTGTATATAATATATACTTTATTAGAATAAATGTTTTTAGCTTTGACTTTCGACTTCAACTTTCAAAATTTAGAGCTTTGAACTCATCAACATGTTAAAATAGTTGTGTCTGAGACAGTGAAAATCATAGAAATTAATGTACAGTGGTTTTGGATAACACTGGTAATAATAATATTATGAATGACAGAAAACAAATGTTTCTTTTCATACCTTCTTTAGCTGGCTCTTCAAAATGGTGGGAAATAGCACCCATCCGAAGATGAGTCCAAAAAGCGCCACCCCGCCAGCAATGGCTGCATACTTCAGCTCCTTCGGCAGCAGCATGCTGCTTCTTTATCCTGCAAATATAAAAAATAGTTGATGATGTAAAGAAAATTTTTAAGAATTTAATTTTAAACGATAGATCTGCAAACAAGATTGCTGACCTGATGGTAAGCAATCGAAACTGCCTATTGACACTGTTAACATCGAAGATTTACAAATAGATTGTCGGCATTTAAAACCTTTTTAGTTTGTTTTTGGCTTTAGATCTAAAAATATATAGGTAGCAACTTTTGGCAAAAATCGGGTTATAGACCGCACTCAGCTTTTAGCATTATTGCTAGATTTTTATTCCTACAGTTTTATCAATATTAAACAAAAAAAATGTCTCTAACCCCAACGGATTTCTGATACAGGATCATAACTGTGTAACGACTAGACAGAAGCAGTATTCCTTAATCATATATAATAATATAATCTACTACTACCAGACTACTTTGGCCTTAATGGAAAGCAACTCTCAAGAGACGGACGGATAGAAGGCTTATTTGTCTAAGTGGACGCTTGGTGGACAACGTTGATGGAATTAAAATGTAAATATAATCTAAAAAAAGGTCAGAGACAGGCTTAAGTACTATTTATGACCTACCATAAAATTGTGACGGTTATGTATAGACTTCACTTGTAATCTGCGGAAAATTATGGCTATATTTACTTACATCATCAAAGAAGAATTACCGATATGCTTAGATACATTTTAACTAGTTTTAAGTGAGAAATATTTATTTACTAACACTTTTTACAAAATGTACAATGGCAGCATTAACGCCTTAGGCGTTTTCTACCAGTCTATCTATGGGTGAATCAAAATGCTTAGAACTGAGTGAAACAAAATCAAACAATAGCAGTTATAGTTAGTTTTCTATCTTTATAATGATATTTCAATCAGTTTTGAATTAGCATTAAAAGCTCTGTAGTGACAGTATGTTTTATGTATTTAAAAAATATACGGTGGACTTAATGCTATACAAACTAGACAACCTTAAAATGATGCAGGAAGAACATGGTCAATATAACAAAGCCAAAACGTTTATATGAACTAAAATGATTTTGACCCTGATCATGACAAAACCTTATTAACGGCTCCTTGGAATCGATCAATCAAATTATTGACGATGCCTTTATTATACAATTTCTTTGATGGGAATGAAAACCAATCAACGTATGGGAAGTGTGTCTTGGTTCACATGCACTCCCTTGAGAACGCCTTCTTCAAGCTCATGGCATTTACGGAGGCCATCAATGTTAATGTGCAAATTGCAGTACCATCGATTATGGGGGGCTTGTTAGAGAAATTGATTACAACGTTGTACAAGATGGTGGCTTGCAATAAAATGGTGTCAAGAATGATGACACTTGTGTTGTCACGCATCATATTCTTATTATTATCAGTTGCACAGTGTGAACTCTGTTTATTTTCTTTTTTAATTTATTAGGTCCACCACTTGTTATTACAGTGTTTCTATACACATAGTTAATAACTTTAATGTTGTGTTCCATTATTATACGACTTTCAAAGGCAAACAACACATATTCATAATTCTTTGAGTTTATCAATGGTTTAATTGACTAACCCCTAGACTTAAAATGTAGAATATAAAATGTTAACAAAGTAAATAAAATCAATTTATACAAAGCAACAACAAAGAAAAAAGTATTCAGATAGTATTGAGATGCGATCTCCAAGAATTATAAACAGAATATCTTTATTTGACCATCTCTGGTATTAAAAAGAAATAACGATAGGAAGATTAACCCCCAAAAGAGAGAGCAAAACATTTTTAAACTGCACTTTCAAACGACTGCAAAAAAGTTCCACGGTTCCCAAAAAAAACTATAGTTTAGCATAACAGTTCCCATTTTGTCACAAACGTTCGAAAGTTAACCTCTCTCAACTTTAAGCAGAGCAGCGTAACCCGAACTGTGTTTCCAAACTCAGTAACACAGTTATAACAACTTTAAATTCTAGTTAGCAAAAAATTCACGTCCAGAACATTCGTTCCAGGAAATTACTCAAGGGAAAATCTTTGGGTAAACGACTTGTTCTTCCCGCTTCCACTATTGGGGTTTCGGCCTAAGGCCTTAGTTGTGAGTGAGGTTATGACTGATAATCCAAAGCCCCTTGTGATTGGATAACCCCATTTATCATTTTCGCATGAATACTTGGGAATAGGCAATGGTTAGCAATGAATATTTTTAAATAAATATTTATAGAAATCTCTAAAGGGAACTATCCTCCTTAAGCCCCAACCGTCGCAGTAGGCTGTACTCCGGGTGTCGGAGGCCGAGCGATGATGTACGATGTCCGGCAACCGTAGGCGCAGATTTGCAGTTGACAAGCAAGGGTAGCTTACATAGCGTTCCGAGCGCTTCAAAGCGGCAATAGATCACCACAGATGGGGGCCAACAGGGGTTATGTTTAGCCAGGGTCGCTAGTCAAGCGTAATAAGGTACAGCGGCTTTGGCCTCGAGCAGGAGAAGGAACGGGGGGGGGGGAGGTGTAGCCAGTAAAAACCCCCGTCTAACACTCCTTCCCACCATACCCTGGGTGAAAGAAGTCATTTGATGATTTTGATGACTTTATTTACAACTTTCACTATTCCTAAGAGGCTCAAGCGTAATAAATATTTTTCCTATTACACATGATATATGCTTGCACTAAAACTACCCTAGTCTATCTAGCTTTTAGTGGTTAAAAATATTTCAAGGAATCCATACGAGGCCTGTCATGCCTGACAATCAACCGAACGTTCTCGACGACCTTCTACGCCAGGCAGTTATTGCCTGTCAAAAAAGGCGACAGACGTTTCCATGATTGCATGGCCATAAATCAACCATGCACTCATGAGGCTTTCTGAACTATGTATGTATTATGTAAATTAAAAAAAACTCCTGGGAAAAGCCGTAAATCATATGCGCCGTGCCCATAAAGGGACATGTCACATAAAACTTGATAGAATTGGAATAAGAGACGGGAAAAATGTAATTTAAAAAGCGAGGTCGTTTATGGAGTTCCATATTTAAGATGATGACATTCCATTTTTAAATTTTGTTCTGTATTCATTTTATGTTGATTTTGTTTTTTTTTATGTGATCGGTCGGCAAACGAGCATACGGATTACCTCATGGTAAGCCATCAGCGTCGCCCATAGACACCCGCACCGACGAAGTAGTTACGAGTGCGTTGGCGACTTTTTGGGAATTAGCGATTTGGAGATTTTGGTAATGGAGTGGGATTAGTTTAGGGCAAGGATTGAGCCTCCGGTTACCTCAATCAAGGGACGAAACACAACGCTGTGGTTATTTCACGCCTGTTTTTTGTGAGGCCGTGGTATCACTCCGGTTGAGCCGACTCATTCGTGTCAAAACATGGGTCTCCCATACTTAAAATTAATTATACACTTAAAATTACAAGAGCACAGAAGTTTTATTTAAATACTCCTGTATTTTTGTATCAAATTAAATCACTAAATTGTCCGATAAATCGGTGCACTTAAAGAACCATTATAGTTTAACTCGCAACGTGGAATAATAGAGAATCTAGAAACTGCAATTATAGGTGATGTAAGCTTGCGAAATTGTGAAGGAAAAGATTACGTACCCTATGTCTTAGGAGAAAAGAGACTTGTTATTTATACATATAATTTTAAGGCGGACTTAGCTATATATGGAATTTGTCTTTCGGTAAATCTTCGGTTTAGTGGGAAATCGGCGAAACTAGGCTTGTGTAAGATGCAGTAATAATTAGACAAATGAAAGACATTTTGAAATATTGTTAAATACCAATCTTCTTATATAATTATATAAAAATCTATTTCTTTTCATTAGTCTCGCTAAAACTCGAGAACTACTGGTCCGTTTTGTATAATTTGGTCTTAAAATATACGTTGAAATCCAGAGAAGGTGTAAAATGTTATATTTGACAAAGAAAGGAGTTTGCGGGGTCAACTAGTAGTAATATAAATATAAATATATCGTTGAGGACATGACAGTTTTGATTTAGTATTAGTTTTCAATAATATCATATATATCATAATTATAATATTATATATCATATATGTCGATATTAAAGAAGAAAATTCATGTTTTGTAGCTACCTCTGCTAAAAACTATGCCTTTTTCTTTAACATTGGAGATAACAGTGTCAGTACAATGAACATCCTGATTAGATTACTCGGCTTTATCACAATGCGGGTTTAATTATGCTCTGTATCAGATCGTACGCTGGTCCATCTTGCACAATATTAATTAACTAACGTTAGGTCACAAGGATTTTGGTTACTACATACATAAATGATAGATACATTACAGTTTATTAGCAGAAATTTTCTCATTATTAAGTCCTCAGAATTGAACCCGAGTTGGATGGAGCAATAATAAGAGATTTTGTTTATACGAAAAGGTATCAATATTGTTTTAATTTGTCCCGCTCATAGATACTTGCAGCACTAGAGAAGTAACAAGTGCTTAACCTGGATTTTTTTATGGCAATGGTTGTTTAACACGGCAGCCGAATGCATCCGGAGAGATGGGCCACTAGGGTACTTAGGTGCGATGTGCGGTTCGTCATACATTGCTCGTGATGTTCCTATGTTTGTGTTTGCACGGCCGTTGACACGATTTGACGCTGTAACAACAACGCTGTACGACAAACGAAATACCGTATACGAGACCTTACAAGTACTTTGTCTGCCTGTCAAGAATTAGGAGTTTGAGGATGTATGGATTATGCCTTCGGTAACCTCAAAACAAATAATAAAATTGGCACTTGTACTTTAAATTGATCACAAAACACGTTGTACTATGTTAGGGTTTCATTTACTAAAATAAGGTAGTTAGCAGCTAGGCGTCGCCGGCACCACAGATTCTTTTTTATGTAATAGGTCGGCAAACGAGCATACTGATTACCTGATGGTAAGCAATCAGCGCCGCCCATGGACACCCGTAACGGAGGAGTTAAGAGTGCGTTGCCGACCTTTTAGGGATTAGGAATTTGGAGATTTAGGAACTGGGGAGGGATTGGGACGGGAAAGGATTGGGCCTCCGGAACCTCACTCACACGGCGAAACACAACACTGTGGTTGTTTCACGCCGGTTTTCTGTGAGGCCGTGGTATCACTCCGGTCGAGCCGACCCATTCGTGCCGAAGCATGGCTCTCCCACACAGATGGTGCCTTCTAGAACTAATTTCCATCAGGGTTTACGGGTGTAAGAGCAATAATGAACCGCAGCTCTGGTCTGGAGCAGGAGAAGGAGAAGGAATCGTGTGGTTTTTAGTCAGTAAGAGTCTGACTGTCCCTTTTGCCCCACCCATGATTTTCGCCCCTTAAAACAAGGCAATTGGCCGTAGGATGATAGAAAGTTCAAGCGCAAATGCCGACGGCAAACGATTAGAAAGATATAACTATACACGGGTCATAATATAGTCTTGATTTATCCATAGTATGTAGGTAAAGCTCAATTGAATGTATTTTTACGATACATCGCAGCTTATAAGATTTTTTATTAAAATTTATGTTCGTATCAACTTAGGGATAAGAAGTAAGTAGAAGATAGAAACATCAGACAGATTAATATCAATGATTGTAATAATTATAACATGAAGAATTTTGTAAGTTTAGGAATCAATAATTACCTGGATTTTATAAGTAGGTTTTTCCTCTTACATAAATATCAACACCGAATGTTAATTTAATTTACCTAGATAATCTACCCAACTTCTGCTACTTCTGTTAATGAGAAGAGTGGTATTTTCTAATAAATGACGAGTACGTACGTGTAGTTGTCCGTGTGTGAAGAAGGTCGAGGAGCGACTTGTGATAGTGCACTGCTTTTAATAAATGGGCGACTCACGGTACCGTCGCATGAGAACTTCGTCATTAGTCAGTATATTTTTTACAGTATCTATGTTATTATATTGACCAGTAATAAGAAATTTATTAAGAATACTAATTACTAAAGTGAATTGTAACCTTCGAGTTTATTAGTCTCAGTTGCGATGACCTTTCGCTCATAAGCTATAATTAACAAAACATATTCGGAAATAATTATGGAGCTTTAGCACGATCGGGACGACGCGACTGGACTGAGGTCTCACAGAAAACCGGCGTGGAACAACGGTTCCGTTTTATGTCACTAAGAGATTGAGGTTACCAGGCCCAACTGCCCGCCCTTTTTAAAATCCAACCTTCAGATCACTAATCTCTCAAAAGTTAGTGACACTTACAGTGCGCTGCTGTTAACTGCTCTTATAGTGCGGGTAGTCATAGGTGGCGTCAATAGCTTGACTTCTCATGCTGTGAGGGAGTGTCAAACTATTACTGGCTAAAACCTCCCCGTTCCTTTTCCTACACCAGGCCAAAGCCGAGGTACATAACTGCACTTACTCCGCTACCCCAGCTGTACATCAACCCTATTGCGCACCATTTATTTCTTGTATTAATTCGTGGTCTGTTGGATCATTGAGACAAGCGCAGAAGGCTATTTGTCATATGCTCAAGACTGGTTCTGGTCGGGCTTTTGCTTATAATATATGCTTACCATCAGACGAAAGGTTTGCTCTTTTGCCCCCCTATTCAATAAAAATTGGAACATTTTGATATTACCACGCATTCTGCCTACACTCACTATCGTGTTTTATTGCCACGTGTAACATTTATACTCGGAATTTTAATTCCATTCCAGATTTGACAATTCCAGTGTTGCGACGTTATGACACGTAATAAATATTGACGTTGCAAAATTATTCGATATGGAAATCGAATATTTCTGAATCGATTCCTCTCGGTTATAAATTTACTCTCGTAAACTAAGTTTATCAGGAAATAAAATCTTTCTGAACCGATAATTTAGTTTTGACAATTAATTAACGATCTGAGACTTTTCTTTTGTAATTGTGTGTGAAATTAATAAAAAATCTGATCATGAAGGAACGTGACCAATAAAACAGACATTTTATAAATTGTCGCCGTCATCGCTATCGCTATCGCCGTTACTCTATATAACATTTATTATGAATTGTGTCTGTGATATTTATTGTCAATTAACATATCTATCTTACTCATTTTTTCCTCTTCTTTGAAAACACGGGATACACATTTAGACCATTCGGTAGCCGTAATTTTTTGAATGCCTTCAGAACTGACCTGAAACTGATTCACTGATTGTTTATTGATTTTTGTGTTCATCACTACACTGTTATATGTGGTATCATTATTTCATAAAATGACAGTGGTCAATGTCAAATCAGGAATCGAATTAAAATTCTGACTATAGGCGCCATATTTATTTTGTCAAACACGTGTATCGTATGCCATTATAATATTCATTAGCAAATCTTCCTTATGCCGTTAAACTTAAACATCGTAGGTATTAAGATAAATATTTTATTCGATTTTCTGTAATGTGGGAATCTTAACTTAATCATTACTTTTAAGAAGCTATACCTATATGGTTCTTCACAGTCTTATTGCATACGAAATATACATGTATTGTTTGACCATCATCCCAATCTGTATTCCGTAAGCAATGATGCAATCTATGATGAAGCATCCCAATCCAAAAGCAGCCTAACAATTCTAGTCTTGGAGACATTCTGAGGCATTTTCCTCAAGTCAAGCAACCGTGGTGATTAGGTAGGTAATGTTCATTCCTATTCCATGTGAGAAGTAGTGATGGTGGAAATGATATTCCAGTAAGAATTAATCATGATGATTAATTATGTGAAATGATGATGATGAATATCATTTTGAGCTGTAGGTAGCTATCCAAATACTATGCGAAGTGAATCTAGTTTGTTATTGTCATGTAAAGGTTCTTGTTACAAAAAAAGTAGGGAAAACAATTAAAAATATGGATCATTTTTATTTAGCGAGGTTTTTGGACACGGAGCATGCAGATTCATATAAAAATCTCACTAAATATTCAGTGTCGGACGGTCAGTTAACTAGTGAAACAATTTTACTAATTTCAACCTCGCTAAAATGTTTACGTACTATGAAAATAAAATATATAATTAATTTAAATTCCAGTTTCTCGTTGGCGTGTACTAACAACGGCCTCATGCTGACTGTGGGATATACGGCACGCGTCACAATTAAGGGGTGGTTTCAATGAATTCCAACTGTCTTGAAATTCCTCGAATTTAAGCTTTTGCGGACGGGAACGTGAGTTAAATCCTATTCATTTGACCACATTCCTATATTTTAGTAGTAGTATAAACTAGTTTCTCACCATTCCAGTTATGAGTTTCATGTGGTAGCGGGTCAGTCTTATGTCTGAATCGGCCAAAAATTTTATGTATGTTTGGCAGAAAGTGAAACATGCTTCTCTGCGAATTGGCTAACTCGACCGGAGTTATTTACGTGGTATGAAACGGTGGCAATGCTCTTTTAGATACTTTAGTAGGTTTTGACTTAAAAAGGCATCATTGTGTGTAAGATATTGTATCCGTGCATTCAATTTAATAAAATATTAGCGAAAGCTATCATTCCTAAAATTGACATCCCTGTCATCATCGCCATACAAATGCCTCTTTCTCCTCATACAATGGCAATAATAGGTTTGTTTAAAAATTATCTATTTTTATTCATATATACTTTCTTCCAGACAACCTTTAGATGGAATGTATAAAAGAAATTGGGCCATGGGTAGTGTAGTGTACGGTTAAAACAAGTACTACATAAAGAAGATATATTACAAAAATAAAGAAATGTGTAAATATAGTTATCCATCTTCCATCTTATTCAAATAAGTCTAATTTAAAAAAAAAATCAGAAAACAAAACGTCATCTACTTAACAGGCAACAAGAATAAATCGCAGTAAAAGAACCGGCTACATATTTACCTATTTAAAAAAGGTAAAATGTAAAAGAAGCTATGGAATTATCTTGTCACTGTTATCGATAGCTGACCTCTCATTCTAGACCTGTGATTTTTTTTCTTTGAAGAACATAGTTTGTATTATCGTTTTCCACTTAATTCTGTCCATATTTTATAAACCACATTCATGAGCTGTCTGTACCTCATATTTTTCATCTACTTTTATTTTTTTATTTGAGGGCAATATTATGTTTTGTTTTTTTATTTATGTTACAAAATATCGTTTGATGTTTGGTTGCAATGTGTATTTACGTAATAAATAGAGGCGATGTTATTACTTTTTAATTTAGAATGCTGTTTTTTTGCTGTAGTATGCTCCCATAAAATGGCACAGGAAAATAAAAATAATAAAACATCAGTGTCACAATACCAGCAAAAAAATTAGGTCATTTTATAAACAGCTAGAGAAATTGAGAATGACCGAATTTTTTGAAATAATTATGGTGAAAAATATTTTCCTTGAAATATTCACCATATTTAAAAAAAAATCTTCGATTGTATTGTTTTTAAGCCAGCACACTAAAGTGAATCGACCTCAAATTACCAAACAAACTACATATAAACGATGTAAGCTAATTACTTTTTTCCAGCTTTCTGTTTATCAAATTCTTTCAGGGTGACAGTGAAAAAATAATCAGTGTGTCATTCTTTTTTGTCCTTTAAAATACCATACCATTGACTTGACCCCTCCCCACTGGGACAAAATTATACCTTATACCATTCAATTTGTATTTATTCCGAAGTAAAGGGTGAAATCTTTGTAAATATTTTATGATACAAACTTTCGCTGGCACCTTGATTTAAACCTCTTTATTTGTTTTGATTTGTAAGTTGATTGTACTACTTTTGCTACAAATACTATTTCAAGTGTCTTATTCATATTTCGTATGGATAAAACGATAGTTACAATTATGATGTAAATTGTATGATTTTTCTTAACAAAAATATATGGGATTTAAATATGTCGCCATCTTAAACAGAAAGGTAGGTTATAGATTAGATATAGTTATAGACTTATCCTACAAGATTTTATTTGAATACTCCTGCCAATCTTAAAATTTTGGCTCAGGACGTATTGGTAATTTTTTTATGGTATAAGTCGGCAAACGAGCAGACGGATTACCTGATGGTAAGCAATCAGGGCCGCCTATGAATACTTGGAATACATTCAAAAAAGAGATAACTTTTACTGAATCCGTTCATCAGTTCAAAACGTTTATCAGATTCGGCCACGGACCGCCACAGACCGCCACTCGTAACTCCGTACTCGTATTCTGTGAGACCGTGGTATCACTCCGGTCGAGCCGACCCATTCGTGCCGAAGCTTGGCTCTCCCACACTTATACGGTAGTGTATTAGCTTTATCGTTTTAATTGTGTGTAAAAAGCATAGAAGAATTTAAACATTTCGTCATCCGACACATCATTTTATTTTAACAAATTCATAAATAACAATTCAACATAAATCAAATTCATGCCTATTGATAATTTTATTGTTGAAATCAAGAAAACTTAGTTATACCTTAATACCACTTTCTGTTGGCTATTTTTTTTTTCTGAGGGGAAAATCAGCAAATAACTTCTCCCGCCCAGGTTCGGAAGGGAGTGTTAGACTCTTTCTGACTAATAACCCCCCAGTTCTTTTGCTCTGGACTGAGGCCGCTGTGTCTCATTGCGCTTACTGACCCTACTGACCACTTTCTGTTGGCGACGCCACAAAAGGATATTAGTCGTTTAAAACGCATAATCATATGTGCATACAAACCTTAACTTATTTTATGTACCTAAAAGCTTTAGATACATAAACTTAACAATATATCACACACTTTAACCACCGAAACTTACAGACAATGTTTAAAGTAATTTGAATTATGGCCAAATAATTAAAACAACAAATAAAAAAAAAACTTCAAATTTAAAATTCACTTAAGGATGAAATGATCTATTTTGTGCCCAACAGCCATGAAGATATTTTCCACTGTGCAGGGATTTGCTGAAAAGAAAAAACGTTATTTTAATGAAACTTAAATAAGAAGTGAAAATAGTTTAAGTTTAAATAGCTGTGGCTTTTTTGAGGGGGGAAATCATCGAATGACAGTACTGCTCTAAGCTGGGGTTGGGCTGGGCAGTACACTACTTACTTGGACCTGCAACCCCAAAAATAGCTATGCCTTGGTAATTAGTAAACCTATACACATATCACAATTCACATTTTTCTTTTTTATTTCCAAATTTAAAAGTGGTCATGATCGGGACACGTAGACAGTTTATGCTGCTCCTGATAAAGGACAACCTCGTTAATTTAGTCAATAAATTACGTAAGGAGAATTTGTGAGTTATTAAAAACAACAAAGCTTACTGACCGCCTGTTTAACAAACACCAGTATATTGAGCGGATATATATATAGGTATATATAAAGAATATAAAATTTATATAAAGAAACTTACGTAAATCAAACCATGCGTCATCATGCCCAGCTTCCAATCGAGCAGCTCTTACTGCTTCTCTCAAAGCGTGAGTCAAAACTGACGCCAGACAAAATGCTGGTTCTCCAGTAGCTAAAAATAATTGAAAATCAATCTAGCTAAGTTATTAGTTGAAGGTTTTACTATCGTTACTATTATGAGAATAAATGAGAAAATAAAGAAGATAAGGATTTGTTGCAACGATTGAGAACAGGATTTGCTCAAAATTGTTTACAGCGTTTCAAGATTATTACATTCATACCTTTGGACTGTAGCACACCATAAGGATTTCTAGAATTCCTTCTAAAATAAACTCTGAAATCTGCTGGTATGTCCTTAATTCCTGGTGGTTTGTACGTCCACGTACGATCTGTGAGTAATTTTCCAGTATCAGGATCGTAAACGAGTTTTTCCGAAGTCCAGTAACCAAGACCCATCACAAAAGCTCCTTCGATCTAGAATAACAAAATATTTTATTTCCACCAAAATACTCAAAAACCACATCGTCACATTCATCCTTAAAATCAACAATTACTCCGAAAACTAGAATTGTTTAATTATAAGTTAATTTTTACCTGAGCAACGTCTATCGTTGGATTTAAACTCCTCCCAGTATCTTCTAGAAGATCAACTCTCCTAACATCATGGTTACCAGTCAAAATATCTACTTCAACCTCAAGAGCACAAACTCCGTAAATATCGTAAGGCTTTAAATTATCATTACTCGAATACATATACGAGGCTTGTAAGTCAATTCCCTTTGCGTAAGCTTCTTGTATAAGTTCTTCCCAGGATGGTTTATCCATTTTTTCTTTGATAGGAGCAAGTCTTTCTAAAAGTTTTTCACAAGCCTTCATCGTGGCAAACGAGACGCATTCACTACCAACGCTCGCTCCGGTTGCCATAGCATTAGGTGATGTGAAACTAGAAGTTGGTTTAATGCTGATCTTCTCTATAGGTATACCAAGTGTGTAGGCACAGACTTGTACAACTTTAGTGTTCATTCCCTGACCCATTTCAACACCACCATGAGTTATCACAACAGATCCATCAGCATGGTAGACTGACACAAGAGAGTTGTAAGGTCCTATATAAAACAGGTCGTAAGTCATAGGGATTATCTTCAATGCCCGTTTCCTCCATCTATTATTCATATTGAATTGCTTTACTTCTTCCAACCTTTCATTGTAATTTGAATCTTTTTTTAGATGATCCAGAAGATCTGGTATTGGACTGTCTTCCTTTACCATGTTGGCTAATTTAACTTCTAATGAGTCTTTGCCTGTCTTGTGAGCAATGTATTCCATTATGTATTCAATCATTGCTATACCTTCAGTCGAAGCTGAAAAATAACGAGGGATTTCATTTTCATTTAAATATTACAAGCATTAGGATATTTCTCCACTCAAAGATACTTAAAAACCTAATAGCGAAACACAACGACAGTACTTGTGAAAATGCTTCTAGTACATTATTGGTATTGACTTAGTTCTCAATTCTTCTCATTACGATAAAACTTCAAGCGTTTTCTTTAAACTTCTGTCATTAAGACTTCAGTTGAAGTATGCAAATGATGTTGTTTTAAGACCTGTGTCACTTTATAGAGAAACCGATTTACATAATGTGTCATGTAAACTTTCTCATGTGAATTTAGGTTCCTATTCAAACTTCTTCGAGCATGAAACGCTAAGATTTAGGAAATCTCATTTCAGACTAAGCTTTGGGAGTACACATAAATATGAGCTTACATAAATACATATGGAATTTACCATTTGAAGGAAGAAGTAGCAAACGCTTCTATGAATTAGGGAAATTGTTGTTTTTATTACGCCATGTAATTGAATATTAAAGTAAATCTTTTGTTATACAACAATGGTTGTTTTATGAGCGGGTGGAAATTATTTATTTGCTAATGCGTATTATTATGACTGCATCATTGAAATTTATTTACATGCAATTAAAAAAGTTTAAGCGTTTAAGTTTAGATTTGCTAATGATCAAAAATAAAACACAAAAGATGAAACTTATAAATCGGTAAAACCGTCGTAATTAGTTTAACAGCTTCCTGACGTACAAAATAAAACTGACACACAACCAACAAACTAACACACTTTCAATTAAAGAATCTGATAAACGTTTGAACTGATAAACGAAATCTGGTAAAAGTCGTCTCTTTTTTTAATGTAATCCGAGTATTCATGGGCGGCGAAAACTGCTTACCATCAGATAATCCATCTACTCGATTGCCGACTTATGACATAAAAAATAGAACCCTTTAAGCTTTGGATGTCGTGTACTTACATGGAGCTCTGCACCAAGTATTAGATGGGGTGTCAGTCGCCACACTATTACTTTCAACGTACCACCTTCGCCGGTCATAGCAGTTGAAGAAATGGTTCAATGTTATGGGGCTGATCGTCTCATTCGCAGAGCACCCATTGTCTTGGTAGAAGACGTTTTTAAGATATTGAATAACGCCATTTTGGTCCACACCAACCTAATTTGAGAAAAAATTACATTGTTTGATACAGAATGGTAGTACCTAGATAATTCTTAAACATTAAGAGTATTTAGTTGCAAATAAATTTGTCGTTTGATTAGAACAAACATACATATCCAATTTTCCCACAGGGTAAGAAAGAGCCAATTAGACACCAAATTTCCGAGAAACCTCTTTAGCTTCTTCTACACTTAATAACTTTTTCATGCTAGCTCTTCGATTAATCTCTCGCCTATTAGGTCTATATTATATCCACATAGGCCGTCCTCTACCGACTTCCCCAACCTACTCACTCAATAAACCTCTTTCGTTAATCTTCTAGTATTCATCCTTTCAATATGACCAACTCATCTTAACATCCATTTTTTCAATACTTGTCACTACATTTTTTTCTTTCGCTAATTTTCTGGACTACACTGTTTTGCACTTTATCTGTAAATGTATGAAATAATCATACATTTACATCATTAATTATCCTTTCATGCTTCTCCTGCCAAACCTTTACGTCTGCGCCAAAACTGCCTGCAATATAGTAAATTGAGCATTTGTGGACTCGCTTGTTGTAACGAAGTAAATAGTACATACAATGAAATATTTAAGGAAGATGAAATCAAGAATCTATAAAAATACCTAAAAGTGAGTTGAAAAGGAGCAAACTTTTATCATTAAACTGTTGGCAAGTAAGGACATAAAGTTTTGGAACTAAGTAATCCCGTTAGCGATTAAGTATTCACTTACCTCAAAGTTTGAGTTAGTGGGCAGCCGTTTCCCGATAACACTCATTGAAGTTTCTAAAGGTAGTATAAATCTGCAAGTTTTTCCTTGTAAATGAGCTACTAAGGCAGCTGCACAGGCTATTTGACATGAACGTGTTATTTTACCACCATAACCTCCCCCCACTCGTCTTACCACTACTTGTATGCTGAAAACATTTCACACATTTGAAACAACGACCGTGATAGGACAACCTTATGATTTTATTATCTTTGCGTAGAAACTCTCTAACATTGTACTGGGATATCTTTTTAAAAGGTACTTTTGACCAGCACATCGATTCTATAACATTTGTTTTAATTTGAATCTTGTTCGATTGTAAAGTGAGCGTCGAAGTGACGCGAAGTGTTTTTATCCACGCTTGCATTTTTAGTGTGTTGTGGGTGCGTTTACAAATATACAAATTCGGATACACATCTAACACAGACCAGAAAAAACCTGAAACACCAAGAATTGGTGGGTCACGCAAATAGTTGTTCCGTGCAGAAATCGAATCTGCGACAGCCCAAGAACTGTGTCAAACGTGAAGACTATTCGTTAGAATTTTATACCATGCGAGAATCAAGACAATGCAACGTGAAAAGAATTATCCAAATCTCGCTAATTTGAGAGATTAAAACGTTCCAGTATAAAGAACAAAATAAAGTCTTCGCTTTATAGATACATTTTTGATTAAGATATAGTTAAAGAGCTGTTTCAGAGGGGAGGTGCACGGATTTCTTCGTCCATTTTACATGAAAATGTTACTCATACATTTTTCATGAAGCGGAAACTTTTTTCTTTGTTCAAGCTAATCTCTGGTGTGTCAAATCACCTTAATGAAATTGTAATGAGGTGGCGAGTTTGACGATATTAAAAGAGAAGGACGGACCTGTTTGCCGGTATATTTAAACATTGAGAAACAGCGACATTGGTCAAGTCAAGCCATTGAGTAGAAGATATTACTTCTAGTCCATCTTCTGTATGACGAACTACACATGTTTGTGGTTCCATGTAATAATGGTATTGAGACTCCACCTTATATTCACCCTTGATCACATATTTCACGTCTTTACCAATTTCTTCTGGTTCAACAGTCTTATTGTTAGTTATCCTTTTATCTTTTTCGGGAGATTTTAAGACATCATCAATTTTTATTAAAGGTTTGTTTTTGCTTATAGATTTGTATTTAATTTTAACAAGTTTTGCAGCCATGGTTGCTGTTTTTTCTCTGTCGGCAACAATGATGCCTACAGGATCTCCATAGAATTTTATTTGACTTGAGCAAAGGACTTCTTCATCTTCAGTCAGTATTAGACAGTTGATTGGTGTGAAAGTATTTTTTCCAGGTATATCTTTAGCAGTGTAGAAAGCTATAACACCAGGAACTTTCTAAGGAAATGAAAGGGAAAAAGATTAATAAAATTTAATATTACATTTAATTTATTATGGCTGTTAGTAGATTATTTTAATAACAAAACTACAAAAAAGATAAAATTAATTTGACTGGATGACAAAATATTTTGATGATTTATGTTTCGTAATCGTGTTAATATGTACTTACAAACGCCTCAGCTGTATCAAAATCACTAATAACACTTCCTGGTTTGGCATCAGCAGTAACGAACGCTGCAAACACCTCGTTAGGTTGTTTTGGCAGGTCATTAGCAAATGTGGCCTCGCCACTACATTGTACCAATCCTTCTAATTTTGATATTGGTTGATTTAGAGGCCAAACACTTTTGTCTGTGTCAAATATTTGCGTCCCATGAGATTTGTGTCTTTTTAGTGCTTCGCCACCTGATTTTAGTCTGGGATCGATTTTGTCGTCTGGACATAGATATAAAATGGCCTGAAAATAAAAACATGGTAGGAGATATTGAATGTAAATTGTGATTAGGTGTTAATTGTGAAAAATAAATGGATAAGAATAGTCCCACTTGACAATAAATGGGTAGTCGACTAGGGATGCACTTACCTTATAATATAAAGCTAAAGCTAGCATCTTTCTATAAGCAGCTGAAGGTTCAGGTGGTGCCTCCTCAGGGAATATCTCCATGCTCAAAGTTTTCAGAGCTAATTGCAACATCTCATTTTTAAACGGATTTTTTCCAACTAATAATGCTTCAGTTTTTGTAGCGTGAATGAATCTTGGAGATATGCTGCCGTATACTATAGTAGCACTCTCCAACAATTTCGAATTATTTCTGAATTTAAATAAAAATCCAGCGTTTACTACTGCATGAGCGTTCTGAGACCGTGGCATTATCTAAAATCAAAGGTAAGTAATTTGTAAAGACATATTTTGCTTTTGCGTTATTAACCACCCATTTATCGTTATAATATTACCTTGTACGTTTTTAATTTATTAGTCGTAGAAAGAGGTGGCAACATTACGTTCACAATTAATTTCCGCTTCATATCTGCTTTCAAAAAATTCTTGAAAGTCATAACTTTCGTAGCGCTTACGCTTTCGGCTGGAAAGTAAAGTTTCATTTTGAATGACAGAAAAATTTAATTAAATGAGTCTAGAGTTAGAGACGGCGTTCTTACCGATAGTGATCATGGCCCCGACAGTTTCAAAAAGTAAAAATAAATCAGATTGAAACTCGTGGTTTAGGTATTTCAGGTATAAATTACCACCGATTGTGCCAATCTAGAAAAATGTTAAACGGATCAAAATTTTAGACATGTTACATACAAAAAAAATTATAGATATACAGTAACATATAGGTACTCACATTTCTAACCGGTATATGAGCAACAAGATCCATATGATCGTACAAAACTTTCAAATAACTGAAATCTTCATTCGTTTGTGATATCTGAAGGAATAGCTCCATCGTCTCCGTAAGTGGCATCCCTGCTCCAATAATTAGGTTCACATCTAACGTATATCCCTTGAGCTCGACAACATTGAAAATATCTATTATGACTGGTGGATAATCCGTAACGTGGTAAACTCCTAAAAAGCATAATTTCTATAAGAGTTGTAAGTGCATATTTATGACGTCAGTTGTGTTCAAACAAAATAGCAGAAAAATACGATTTTGTACTTTATTCTAATGGTTTTTAGTTTATTCTTATTTCTCATGAAGTTTTACACAAACCTTGTCCTGTATTTCCTGCAATCAGTTTATAATTGTTACTCTTACTGATTACTTTGAAGACATCGTCCAATACATAAGTCTTGTACCACTTAGTTATACCACAGTCTACAACGATCATTTTGTTACTACCTTTCTCAATCACACACCAGTCTTCATCTTGCTTTGCATCATCCGTCTTAATCTTATCTCTCTTAGGACATTTTTTTAAGCATTTCTGTCCATGACATTTAACTGTAGATAAATCTTCTAAATCAACTAATTTGTTAATTAGATCTTCGCTAGCATTGTTTGCGAATGTTTTGAATGCATCTGCGATTGGTCTGTATCCAGTACATCTGCATATATTACTTGCAAACGAATTTTCTACTTCTTCCATTGTTAAGTTGTTCTTTTTGTTTTCGTAAATGCTGAATGATAAAAAAATAACAGATGTAACACTAGCTTTTTTTTATAAATATTTTGTTTTCAATTGAAATTGATTTAATTAGTTAGCCTGTAGGCTTTTATCGTGTTTAATCTTTCCTTGTATCAAATTATTTAGTATAATAAACATTGAAGTTTAGGTTCTTGGCATTTTATTCGGTCAGATGAATGTGTATTTTCGATTTGCGTTTGTAACCGTCTAGAGCGTACACAGACAGTTCCAGTTAATTCTCAACTTTTCTTAATGAAATAATATAACCTTCAGCCAAAATGTTCGGTTTGATATTCTTTGGATATTATTTATAATTTTCATTCATAAAACAAGTACACTTCAATGAAATATTTCTCGGGTTTGTGTGGGATGCCGAATATTGGATATAAGAATTTGGTTCATATTGGCATTAAAAGGTCAGAATATACAAGTTGTTACGTTAAATCCACATTGTATATGATTTTTATGACTAGCCACGATTCAAGAAAACAGAATGAAGGCTATTCCAAAGTTCATTCTTATTGTAGGTCAGAGGGTAATTGTTACAGATTTTCGAGCAATTGTTTCATAAGTAAATAAAAGAAGAAATGTCATTATATAGTGTTGTTACATTTAACAACACGCGACATGGCACAGTATATAATAAATGCAAAGACAGAAGAAAGTATAATATAATATTTGCGCCTTAAGATCGGTCCCATAGAGTTGGAACCACGAATTCGTGAAGAAGTTTAATAGTGTGACTTTTATTTCTTTCTTTTTAATGATTATTGGTATTGAATATATTTTTAACTGCTCATCTCAAATTTTATATTTTCTCATTGTTTTATATATTTACTGAAGGAATTCTATATTTTTTACATTCCCTAAAAATGTATCCAAGCAAGATCTTTTTTTCGCCCCCGAAAACTTCTATATATCTACTAATTTTTATAAAAATCTTTGGAGTTGTTCCCGGGATTCAGAAAGAATTGCTTATTCAAAGATAATGTTTATGTTGTCATAATTAACCTTATTGCTTTTCAACTCACCTGAACATATTCATGACCCATCCAGGAGTGCAGTAGCCACATTGCGTCCCATTAAACTTTGCTAATCTGCTTTGTATGTCGTGGTAACCGGCCATCTTGCTTCCAATACCTTCAACTGTGATAATCTCCCAACCGTGGCAGGATAATACGGACACTAAGCACTTAAAAATCATAAAAGACCCAATAAAATGTTTTATTGAATCCATGGTAATCAAATAAGATAAAATACCTAATGCAAAATTTTATGTTTAGTATGTTTCGCTAAACTGGTATTTAGAGACATGTACATCTTTGTGTTGTTTTTATACTACACACACTATAGATGCATTCTTTCAATAAGCAATTTTTTGCAGCTTACCTACTAAGCTAAATATCGATAATTCATGAAACCTCAAACGAACGCCGGCGTTCGCGCACGTACACGTTCTTCCATTTTGAATGACCATGATTAAAAGGTTAAAGGTTTGATAGGATGGGTAATTGAATTGAATAACTTGGTAAAAATATAAAGCTTACAGAATTGACAGAAAACGTTTTGACTTCGTTAGTGGGCGGTAAGGCTGCGCGTACAGTGACGATGCAGGCACCACACCCTCCTTCATGGCACATCGCCTTCGTGCCACGGAGCTCTGCCACATTCCGAATGTATTCGTTCAGAGATACATCAGGACTGAATCTGCCATCCGCTAGAAATGGTAATTGTAATGTCACTTAAAATTCATATTTTGCCCAAAAAATAATTATTATTAAACAACAAAGCTGTAGAGATTTTGAAAGAAGAGACTTTACCAAAATACATGTTTAGAAAAGTCTTTTTCTATAATTGTGTTGTTCTCCTATTATAGTGACACTCAACTCAACAACACAGGCGTTCGTAAAAAGCTAAGTGAAGACATCTTCGCGCCCAAGGAATTTGGTTGCTTACAAACTCCTTGACAGTTTTACTGCGGAAGAGTTTTTTTCCAAAAGCTCGTCAATAAAAACAATAGTACATATCTACCTTCAAACGGCTCCCCATTGATTTTGAACAGAATTTTGGCCATGTTGGCTATCGGCTACCGTCGGACTGATTTCTTTGCTGCCTCTGGTGTACCAACCTCTTAATCATGTCCAATGGAACTGGCTTATTCAACATTACTTATTGTTAAATTTAATGTTCCTAGCGGAAATAATAATACAATTGGTAGCCAGTGGTCTAATGAACAGTTGCTTTTAGTAATATTGTGAGTTGACTTAACCTAAGTGTATAATAAAAAGAATTGTTTAATGTTCTGCTATGTAATTTTTGTAATGGTTTGTGCGTTTTGTAACATTGTTAGTTGCCATTATTACATTGTTGGCGATACTACACATTTTCTCGGTTTCGGTTTTATTTTTATTTATTTTTTGGTATATCGGGTTGAAATGAGTCTCTTTTTATAAAACCTTTTCTGTTAATTTCTGTTTTTTTTTTGTTTATCATTGCCGTTACATTAAGATTTTCTCCTTTGTCATGGGTGCTTTCACAAACACACAATTTCATATACACACAACACCAAGAATAGGAACAACAAATTATAGATTACACAAAAGCTTGTTCCCCTAACGGAACAACTATTGAACCGACTCAGCTGGTTGCCCATCCACCGGGACAAAAGTGCAAGTCAAAATTCTTTCACAGCTCAGCATTTGACAGCAGAACACTTTTTGATTCCATTTCTATACATTCTCCAATAATATCATATAGTACTTACTTCTATAAGAAGCGCATATTAAAATTAGTATTTAATCACAAAAGCTTTTGCAGGGATAAGAACAAGGTGTAAACTCTCATCCTCAATTGAAAAGGAAGGATCCTCCGACCAGTAGGGCGTTGGGTCTGGTGGGCTACGGCTACTGCCCGATGGTTGTTGTCGGGATTATGAACCTGTTCTGCATATTTATTTGTTTCAAGAACTGTATACCCTCGTTGAAGAAACTTCAATTTGATTGGTGCTGTTGCTGTTGCTGTTGCTGTTGCTGCGTGTTGTGCGGTACATGTCGCTACAAGCTTTATCTTATGTATTTGAATCTGATATCTAGGAAGAAGTTAGTAGTCCGCAATAAAGTGTGGGAGAGCAATAATTCTGGAGTGATACCACGGCTTCACAAAAAACCGGCGTGAAACATCCACAGCGTTGTGATTCGCCGTGTGAGTGAGGTTACCGGAGGCCCAATCCTTCCCCTCCCCCAATCCCTCCTCAATCCCTAATCCCTAAAAGGGTCGGCAACGCACTCGTAACTCCTCCGTTGCGGCTGTCCATGGGTGGCGCTGATTGCTTACCATCAGGTAATCCATATGCTCGTTTGCCGACTTATTACATAAAAAAAAATCCTTGGTTTGGCAAACGATTGGTGCGGTGGCAACAATTTGCGGATCACACAACTCTGTGTGATCCGCAAATTGTTCCGGGTCTGGTTATCATGTATAGTATTGTGTATGTGAAATTGTATGTTTGTAACCGCACCCACGACACAGGAGAAAATCCTAGTGTAGGGCAACGTTTTTTTTTAAATAACAAAAAGATATGCTAGCTATAAGACACGTTTCAATTTTGAAAATCGAACCCCATTAATTGATTATCATTTATTATATTAAGGGCAAGCAATGAAAATACTTTATTAAAACATTCGATAAAAAGCATAAGTACCAATTGAAAAAAGTAGTTAAGACACAGTCATAATAATTAAAAAATACAGTTAATTACTCGGAAAGAAATTTTCTTGTGATATAAAGGCCACTAATTAAGAATGTAATAATTATTAGAACGTAGTCTGTAATTATATTGAATACTAAGTAATTAAGTTATTACATTACAGTAGCCACTGGTTCGTATATATTATTCTATTAATTGATTAATTAGATAATTGATAATGAAATGTCAGTTTTATATATAGGGGGTTTGGGTGCATTATATTACGAAAATATTGACTGAGAAGTTTAAATTAAAATTACTAAATTACTAAATGTGTAAGTGTGGGAGAACCATGCTTCGGCACGAATGGGTCGGCTCGACCGGAGTGATACCACGGCCTCACAGAACTTCCCCCAATCCCTCCTCAATCCCCAAATCTCGAAATCCCTAATTCCTAAAAGATCGGCAACGCACTCGTAACTCCTCCTCGTGTAGCAACCCTAATTTTGATCTTCAACCCTCGGATGCAACAAGATCGAATCTGCAATATACACATACTAAAAAAATCGTCGGGAATCGAGCTCAGCATTGCCTAAAATACAAATCAACTGGCCTCTTTTCAACAAGACTAGCATTGGCAACAAGTGAAGTCTGACCCAGATTTAAATGAATAAAATAACCACTGCGTTGTGTTTCGCCGTGTGAGTGAGGTTACCGGAGGCCCAATCCTTCCCCTTCCCCAATCCCTCCTCAATCCCTAAATCTCCAAATCCCTAATCCCTTAAAGGTCGGCAACGCACTCGTAACTCCTCCGTTGCGAGTGTCCATGGGCGGCGCTGATTGCTTACCATCAGGTAATCCGTCTGCTCGTTTGTCGACCTATTACATAAAAAAAACGACGACTGCTGATGCGATTTTCTTTCTTTTTTTAAAAAAACGTTGTCCCACGCTAGCGTTTTCTCTTGTGTCGTGGGTGCAAACGTGCAATTTCACATATACATGACACCCAGACCACGGTACAACAATTTATGGATCACACAAAGAGTTGTTCCGTGCGGGGATCGACCTGCGAGTCTGCGACACGTTACACGGCAGCCAGTTGCTAATCCACAGTTATTATTATTTGGGAATTGATCCCGAACACATAAATTCTGTGGAACAGTTTTGTCAGTTATCCCTTTGAATAACAATAAAAGTTGTTTTTCTCATGAATTTCAACATTTTGATTTTTCTAATTATGTATATTTTTTCTGACGGATTACATGATGGTTACCAATCCGCATTTTCCATGTACAACCGCAACAACGGATAGGAAATCTCCCAGATTTAGTGATTGGAAGAAGGGAAGGATGGGGCCTCCGGTAATCTCACTCATGTGGTTATCTCACGCCGCTTTTTTGTGAGGCCGTGGTATCACTCCGGCCAAGACGATTTATTTCATCGTGGTTTAATTCTAAAAAAAGAAGAAAATATAGCTCACTGTTTTTCAACGAACTCAGCGTAGTACGTACGTATGTATGTATGTGCGTCAGTCTATATTTTTAGACGTGGGAGCACACAGGTGTACTGACGGCCGGTAACTTCCATATATTTTTTTTTTCATTGCAAATTGTGTCATTGGAATGTCCCCTTGTAGTTCTATGGATATGTCAAGGTGCACGTTATAGGGGGTGTAGTTAAAGCCATAATATATATTTTTTGACTAAATATTTCAAATGTAATATTTTTTCGGTAATTTGTATTTCTTATTTGTTGGTTTTGTTCATATGCAGATTTAATGTGGCCAGATCTTGTTATTTGTCATGTGAATAGATAGTGAAGTCACCGATTTTCACACCGACTGAGGACACGTTGAACCAGATTGCTAGCTACCAATGGTTTTTTTTTAAAATACATTGCTCCAGGTTATGATTTTTTCTTTGTCATGGGTGCGCTTGCAAACACAAATTCACTTTCATATGCCACCCAGACTCGAAACAATAATTTGTAGATCACACATAGTGTTGTTCCGTGCAGCAATCGAATAAGCGAGACGTTGTACATATATAGCAGCCAATTGCCCAGCCACTAAGCCAAATGTGCAGTCGATGTTAAAGTGTTCACATTCTAACACAGGTTGTATCTTATTGGGTTAGTACAACTATGAGATTTAGGGTCTGAACCCTAAACCTAGAGTTTACACCATAATCTAAGCCTAAAGTATAAACCCTTAACCGTAAACGGATTTGGTAGATGTAATTTGGTACCCAATTTCTATCAAATGATACCAAAATCTTCAAAGTTAATCGAATTTAATTGTTAATCGAAAACAATATACATCATTTTTAATTATGATCTAATAATAACATTTACGTAAGTGACCTATCATCGTGTTTGTTACCATTTAACCTACAAGGCGGTTACAAGGTCATTAATACTTCCGTTGTGCGACCCTTCTTGTG